ATTTCTTTTATTCATGCAGAACTTATATACCTTGTGGAGTTAGAGATATTATTAATTGTTTACTTATATTTGAATATTATCCTGGGATTAGGTTTGGGAAGTCTCGGGGTGGGTGGGTGGGGGATGCGGGTTCTATATTATATTTGTGTTATATTTGTATGTTTTCTCTTTATGATGAAAATAATAAAAAATTTTATTGAGAAAAAAAAAAAAAGAATGCCAAAAACTGACTGCATAAATGCATTCCACACTAGGTTCCCAATTAGTGGTGGGATTCAAATATGTGAACAACCGGTTCTCTGTGTGGATGCCGCTTCCAGGAAGTCCATTTTGGGCCTGGGCAACAAAAAATTAGCTACCAGTTCTGCCAAAGTGGTGCAAAGTGGCTGAATCCCACCACTGTTCCCAATCCTTTTCAAGGGCAGCCCCATGTAGAGTATGTTACAGTAATCCAGAAAGGAGATGACTAAGACATAAATTACCACAAACAAGGCTTCTCGGTCCAATAATGGGCCCAATATGTAGGAGACAAATCTTGCAAAAGGCCAGGTAATGGTTGGGGGAAAACAGAACGAGGGGTCTCTGAACTCTTCAGTGAAAGGTGGGATATAAATTCAAATAAATAAATAGGACTAAAACATCAAGGATGGAAATGTTTCTTCTAGTTCACTAGCCTGATCACTACCCACTACCCACTAGACTACATTTGATAACCATGAAGAATTGATAACTGCAATGAAAATAAGAACTTCCTTTTCAAGCACAGAGACTTTGCTGCCCAAACCTTCCACATGTTAGGCATTGCTTACCGAGCCCCTGGTTCTGCTGTTCCCATTCAATTGCATTTGGTACATGATAGGATATTCCGGAGAGGTCTCCTGCAGGACTTTCCAGTCCTTCCAAGGGCTCCTGTGAGGTCTCCCCAGGAACAGTAAAACTGGAGAGGTCAGCATCATCTAAGTTTTCATCTATTAAATTGGGTTCTCTGTCATCATCATTCTCTTCTTCATCCTCATCCATTTCCTCTTCCTCCTCTTCTTCTTCTTCATCCTCTTCCTCCTCCTCTTCCTCTAAAGAGATAGGAATTTAAAAAAAAGATGATATTGAAAAAATCATATCATGATGTTCATTGATGACAAACAGGCCATGAATTGATTTGTACTCCTTTTTTAATGAATTAAAGTAATGATGGAAGACGCTTGAAATAGAGGCTGTTGTCTGGGGGGGAGGGGTTAATTAAAGTCTGTTCCTCGGTGAGTATCTAATGATAGTATTTGAAAAGTTCCAAAGATAGGGATATTCGTCAAATACAAAGAGTTTCTTCTTTTCCTCTTGTCTCATAATCTTGGTGAAAACTTCTACCCATCTGTGGAATAAAGAATATCTTAAGAGGAGAGCCTTTCAGTAGAGATACATTACAATCCTAATGTTGACTGGACTATTTGCCCAATGATTGATACTCACACCACTAGAAGTAAAAGCGTTTAACTTCATTGTGGGTTTTTTTTAAAATTTCATTTTACCCCTTATAAGTGAATGAAATTTTTGGGAGGCTTAATACATTTATTAGGGGGCTTAATTAGTGGGAACAGAGAGACAAATATTGTGCCACTGAAAATGATCACTTTGCTGTGTAATTCTGGATGCTCCATTTGAATCTGCAAAATGGATGCATGCAGCCTATTGGCCATAATGACTAACAGTGACTTAAGAAAGTGTGCCCAGGTTTGGTGACCTCCAGATATATTGGATATGTTCTACAGATATATCCTACAACTGCTAGCCAGCATGGAAACAGCTTGTGGGCTGGGAATGCTGAGAGTTGGCCTAACACGTCTGTAAGGCACTAGATTGGGATGTCAATCAAGCATAAGTGTTTTTAAGAAACCCTTGTTGTTCTTGTGACAGATGCAACTCTGTTTCTACTTGCCCAATATTAGAATTTATTCATCGTTATCATGCATAGTTTATTCTTTCAATAAAAGCTTTTTTCATGCATCAAATGAGGTTGTAGTAGAGTCCATATTTTTTTTAATGAAATAGAAATGCTACCCAATGAATTTTAGTACTTTTATGTCTCCTTTATTTCAAAAGAAAATAATTAAATATCCTAGGTCAAACTAGTAGATATTTGACTCATCAATTCTCATACCTCCAGACATTGTACAAAAGGATGAATGCAGTGATTTCAGACATCATGGAAAGAAATGCATTGGTTCTTGCCTATCTCTAAAATATTTTGCTCTAATGCTGCATTACCAATTACATTACATTCCTCAGTGTTAGAAACAAAAGGAAACATCGCCATCAGTTGGTCATAAGGAGGCCCTGCAATCTTCAAGAAAGTTCAGAAGAAGAAGAAAAATCTCAGTGAAGAGGGAAGACATCATAAGAGAAAATGCCTGCAATTAATCAGGAAATAAAATCGTAGTATTTCCATTTGTGGGTGTTTCCTCTTGATGGTGTTTTAAAGTATCAAAATAAATGCATAAACTAAAAATAATAAAGTTACAGTTAAAAGTAATAGGATTAAAGTTGGTGTTAACTACAGATTTCTATCACTCAGATACACAGATAGAATAAAAACAGATGACAAACAATTTAAGAATTATGCCTATTTTAATACCTTTCTCTTGAGAATGGAGACCAACACAAGCTTGATCTATGCTTTAGGATCTGTACACAACACCTACAGTATAAGCACCAATGTGCACACATACAGTTCTGTTGGTACCTTCCAACTTTCTGCACAAACACCTTATTTTAATTTTGATAAATCTAAAAAAGGAGGTGGCATGCTGCGAAGGAAACCACCAGCCTTTAGAAACATCTTTGTAAATTAAAAATGGCAGGTGGTTGTCCCTTAGCACCTTGTCATAAAATGTGTTCACCTGCCAAGAAAGAGAAGACAAATAAGCTAGGGGCTGGAAGACAGTTGTTCTAGATCAGTGTTTCTCAACCTTGACAATTTTAAGGCATGTGGACTTCAACTCCCAGAATTCCACAGCCAGCATTGCTGGCTGTGGAATTCTGGGAGTTGAAGTCCACATGCCTTAAAATTGTCAAGGTTGAGAAACACTGTTCTAGATAGCTGCAAAGAAGCTTGTCAGTTTGCTTTCTGATGAATTACTGTTCTGTGGTTGGTCCTGCCCAGGGTAGCAGCCATTTTATCAGTGGGCAAGCACAGCTAACAGCGATTTTCTCTGAAGGCCCTACTTACTAACAATGACAACAAGAAAAAGTGGATCCTATCAATAAACCAAAGACATCCTAGATTTTGGCTGAGTGCAATATAGAACCCAACCAGTGTGGCATTATTTGTTTGTTTGTTTGTTTATATACTGCCTTCATTATTTTTATAGCTTATTATCTATAAGAAATAATTATTTAAATAGAAATATTTAATGCATAGCTTTATTACTTGATAGCTTATTATCCCGGCTTATTCAACCAACTAATTAAAAAAGCATGTCACAGTGAAGGACAATGTATGAATCCAGCCACACACTCCACCCAGCCCCCTCCACCCAAAGAAATAGTTATTGCTCTATAATTAGGAAATATTTGATTTAATGAACAATTGCACAAAGGCTCTATAGATAGCCTTAAATGTCAAGGTCCTCTCACATTCTATACTCCTAGATTTTAACTTTTAACTTATTTTTGTTTCATCCTAGCTCCTTTTACAGGTGTAGTGCATTTTATATGGCTTTTATGCTTTTGTTTTCACTATACACCACCCACCACCCAGTCCCTCTGAGGGTGAGATGGGTGGTAATTAATTTTGATAAATATTTCCATTATAAAAATCTGGTTATTCTTAGAAATGCATCACACC